GCCCTTGGACCTGGGGAGTGGGCCTGCACGCACTCTGCTGGGGGTCCCGACCACACAGACACGAGGTCTAGGGTCTGCTCTCTGCGGCCGCTCCCAGGCCTGGGTACGCTGCAGGCCCTTGCTCTGTGCTCCAGCTTTTTCTTGGATGCCCTGGAAAAGAACCCACAGGGGCAGAACTTCCCTCTGGGAAGAGATGAGCACACCTCATAAAGTGCAGGTGCGATTTTCTGTAATTCCTCGAACCATAATGACGGCTAGACTTGTTCTTGGAACGTAGTCACCTGCCACCTGACTGTCATTTGTGGGCCAAGCCTGTCCTGTGTCTAGTCGACAGTGATTCCCATTCCTTTCCTGAGTCCTTGAAGCTATGCCCAGGGCCTTTCCCTGCAGGCAAAATTGGGACAAAACCCTGCCCTGCTCACAACTCAGCTGAAAATTTGTCTCCAGCCACGCATGCAGTCTCTGCTCCTCTCTCCTTGCTATCACTCTGATAATCCCTATCAGGTGTCAGGTCTTAGCTCAAAAGCCTCCTGGTCTGGGAGACCAAGCCTATCAGGGCAATCTTGCACTGATAACGATACAGCTCCCTGTGCCCCCAGCTAGGTGTGCTGTCCATGCTATCCAACAACGCGGGTCGTGCTACTGCCACCCTCCACTTGCCTGCGGAGGGGCCATCTGAGAGCCAAGGAGAAGCAACCACACCTAGGCAGAGGTGGGAGAGAGCCTGGGGACTGGGAAGGCCTCACTGGGAGTCTGGTTCCAGAGGACCTGTAGGAGTTGAGGGGGCCTTGGCACAATTCCAGGTGGGAGCAGGACAAGCTCAGGGTCCTGAAGCTAGAGAGGGCCTGCTGGTGCAGTGGGAGCAGAGGACTGAGGGAATGAGGCCTGGGGCTGGCAGGTGGTGTGGTGGTTAAGGGCGCTGAACTCCCACAGGGCAGACCACGGTTTGAGTTCCTGGACCTGGCAGCTTGCTTTCTCACTCTCTCTCACTCTGTCCCTCTCTGATCAAATAAAATAAATAAAGATAAATAAAATAATTCTGTTTTTTTCTTGGAGAGGTTTTTGCTATATAGGGTGCATGCGCTCGCCAGAAAGACAGAAAGAGACAGAGACAGAAAGTGAGAAATCACCCCCTGGGGGATGGCCATACTGCAATCCCTTCTCCATTCTCCTCTCGGGATCTTGGGCATGCACGCACACGTGCCTGGCGTGAGTTTAAGCCACTAGGTCCAGGACTCGAACCATGGTCAACTACATGGGAGTCCAGCAACATAGCCATTACACCAACTGCTGGTCCCTAAAATAATTCTTTAAAAATAAAACAAAAAAAGAGTAATGAGCCCCACAGGTGACGTGGTGGTTAAGGACTAGACTCTCACATGGCCAACAATGGTTCAAGTCCTGAACCCAGTGGCTTGAAAATCACACTGAGTGCACATGTGCCCAAAATTCCTAGAGGAGAATTGAGGAGAAGAGACTGTGGCATGGCCATCTCCTCTGGAGAGAGTGATTTCTCACTTTCCTTTCTCTCCAGCAAGTGCATGCACCCTATAGCAGAAAAAAAACTTCAAAAAGAACTACTGAGTGACACTCGCTAAAGGATAGCAAAGGCCTGCAGGCCTGTGCGGTTGAAATCGGAAAGGAGGAGGAAATGCGGAGAGACTGCGAGTAACTGTGCCCCTGGGGTGATGCCTCACTCTCCCTCTCACTGTCTCTCTTCAGTGAGTGCACACACCCTCTGGCAAAAAAATATTTTAAAAAGTGTTATTTAAGGCACAGTAAGGTAGGGCCAGCAGATGGTGTAGCAATTATGTCACTGGACTCCCACATGACCGACTGTGGATCGAGCTCCAGACCTGGTGGCTGAAAATCACGCTGGCACAAGTGCCTGCATGCCCAAGATCCCAGGAGGAGAATGGAGAAGGTATTGTGGCACAGCCATCCTTCCCCCTCCCCCCAGTGGTGACTTCTCACTTTCCCTCACTATTTCTGTCTCTCTCTCCAGTGAGTACACATGCCCTAAGGCAAAACCTCTAAAGAAATTTTTAAAAAAATAAAAAGCACAATAGGCCAGACCCTCAGGCCCACCGCAGTAGGTGCAGAGACCGCTGGGAAGGGCATGGGCAAGGGCGTGGGCACAGCTCGGAACACAGCCGTGATGGTGGGGCTCACAGCCAAGAAGTAGGTGGGAGTCAGCGGGCAGAGAATGACTAAGAGACATCAGAGGTCGGGGCTTCTTGCAGAGAGGCCAGGGTGACCAGACATGACCTGGGGGCCCAACCAGATGGTGAGGGTGTGGACGCTGGCTAAAATGACTTAGCAGAGTTTTTGCTAAAACTAGATTTACCGGGATGTACACGGGTCTGAGGAGGGTATAGAAGCCTACCATTTGGTCAAGCTGGGAGCCTGTGGGCTGCAGTGCTCCTCTGGTGGGGGCTGGTACCAGCCAAGCTTGGCAGGAAGGGTGGGAGCCCTGTAGCCCTGGGTGGGCCAGCAGGGATGGCAGGCAGGTGTGTCGACGGAAAAAAATATAACCAACTGTAAAATTAATAATTAATAATACGGTTTATTTCCAAGCCAACTGTGAGTGACCTAGGCCAGAGAAGAGGCATACATGCCTTTTCTCGGGGTGATCATGTACAGAGGTTCCTTTTATTTGCTTTTGAGATTAACAGACAACATTTAATTAAAAGATTTCCCATTGGTCTGGCCCAAAAAGGCGGGACATGTAGAAGCGGGGCTTGGAGGTTATAGGTGGGTTCCACAATTCTTAGGTGGGTGATTGGAAGGGAAGATCCCTGTCTTAGTTAAAGAAAGGCTTAATCTACATCTCAAGGAAAAGAGAAGTTCTGTGTCTTAGTTAAAAAAAAGGCTTAATCTCAAAGGTACTGTGCCAGGAACAGGAGGTAGGAAGAATCCTGTTAAAATAGAAAATAAATGGTCTGTTAATGTTTGTGGGCATGACTTCCCCAGTCCCCTTTTGAAAAGATTTTGGAAAAATAGGAAAAATAGTCAGACTTCTGTCCACAGGTGGTTACCCAGGTGATGAGGGTGGAGCAGGCCCAGGGGCTGCAGGTGGTACCCTTGCCTAGTTGCAGCATTCCACGCCCAGGCCGAACATTCGGAGAGCTTGACTACCCCTCGCTCCCACACAGTGGCTACCATCCTCGTCCACCAGGCAGAAATGTAACACCACCCTGTGCTGCTCTGCTCTGTGGAGGCCCCTCTCCTGACTGAGGGTGTCAGTCCCAAATTAGCAAAGCTGCGGTGCAGAGCCGCTTTCCTACCCCAGCAGGCTGCTCCAACTGGGGCTCTGTTGAGGCCGCAAGAGGGCTCACATCTCCAAAAGACCCGGTAGGCCTGCGGAGCTGGCTTTGAACCAAGGCTGGCACACACATCCTGCCTCCAGGAGGGAGGTCAGGGCTGGGCCTGAGCGGCATCACGTGTGCACACACCTGAGAAAGTGCTCCATTTGCATAACACTAAGCCTCACAAGGGATCCTTCCAAGAATAGTGGGCAGGTCCTAAGATAGTTCTCAGCTTGCAGTTGAAAGAGAAGAAAGTGCTTTTGGTGGATTCCTTTCAAACCCCAATACGCAGCGCCGACCAGCTGTGAGAGCTCCAATTACAGGCTCAAAGATAGCCACAGAGAAGCTTCTGTCCTGGCTCCAGATGGAAGCGCAGTGCCCCAGACCCAGAAACCACACTGGAATGTGACCTTGGGGATTCGCTCTCCACCAGGCCTGTCCACCACATCACGCCCGTCTCTGGGCGTCCCTGAGCTTCAAACCTCGCTCTCCACACGGCTCTGGTTTGGAGCACTAAAACACAGGAGCTGGAGCTGGGGCTCCCCCTAGGTCCACCCTGACCCCCGGAGACCCTCC